GTGACTGGTTTAACCTGAGAAGTTTTGTTTTCATTTTTTGATCGTTATTTAAACGGAAATTGTTTCTTATTGAACTATTGGAAGGCTGATAGCTTTTTTCTCCAAAAGAAAACAAAAAATTTCGGGCCAAATATGATTTGCTAATTATAATTCTTTGATAATTATGCACATCTATTCAGTAATATTGATAATAAATTTGATTTGATATGATTTGGCAATTTGATAATAAATTATGCATGTGATTATCATATATTGACCTCGAATATCAAAAAATATTACTGCATTCAAGTATATTCCTCTACTACCATCAAAATTTCTTTCCATTTTCTGTTCATTTAAACGAAAATTATTTTTACATCAATTGCTATGTTTAATGAACTTTTTTAAATATTCTCAGTGAAGCAAGATGCTTTGATGATATCCCCAGCATATTCCAAACAATCAATATGCTATTTGAATGGCGACTCAAACCGAGCCCCGAGACAGTCATAATCCGCTTCATTTTCCCAGTAAATACCGCGAACCTTACCGCTCATCGTTGTATCTGAGTCGGAATTGTTCAAAATGATTAATTAGTATTTTCCTCACCTTTTATACCTTTATGATATGATGCATATTGCTATTTGAATATATGCAAACGATTCATAAAAACCTTCTCTCATAAAATTTACATATTTAAATAGAGAAAAGTATTTTCTGGTACTTCCCATGACAGATTTTGTCTTTGACCTTCGGCATTTTTAGTTTTGACGAGAGAGAGAGAAAAAAGGAAGAAACGATCAAATTTGAATGATGAAAAAGTTTGGAAATTAAGAACGGACTTTTTCCCATTTAAATATGCAAATTTTATCAGAGAAGATTGTTGTGAATCGTTTGCATATATTCAAATAGCAATATGCATCATTCATAAAGGTATAAAAGGTGAAGAAAATACTTAATTAATCATTTTGGATAGTTTCGATTCGGCTACGACGATAAACGGTAAGGGTCATGGCTATATCTACTGGGAAAATCGGATTGTGACTGCTTCTGGGCTCGGTTTGAGTCGTCATTCAAATAGCATATCGGTTGTTTATAATATCGAAGCATCATGGGATATTCATTGGGGATACTCACAGAGAATGTTTAAAAAAGTCCGCTAAATCACAGCAATGAATGTGAAAATAATTTTTGTTTAAATAATGAACAGAAAATGAAAACAAATTCTGAAGGGAATAGAGAAATCCGCTTGAATGCAATAATGTTCTTTGATATCTGAGGTCAATATATATAATTAGATATGCATAATTAAAAAGTATTTATCCGGGAATTTGACAGAAGTTCCGCTTTATTTTTCTACAGATACAGCTGCCGCTCGGCAATCGGGCTTTCGCACTATGCATAACACATTTAGAGAGGAAGAAGTAGCTTGATAAGGAAATGAAGCAGATAGATGTGCATAATTATCAAAGAATTATAATTAGCAAATCATATTTGGCCCGAAAATTTTTTTTTTTTTGGTAGTAAAAAAGCTATCAGCCTTCCAATAGTTCAATAAGAACAATTCCGTTTAAATAACGATCAAAAAATGAAAACAAAACTTCTCAGGTTCNCCGAATAAACCAGTCAC